AGAGACTGTTCAAGAACAAAAAATATTGAGGATCATGCATCACATTTAGAAGCACAATACATTGGGGAACATTTCCCAAAGCTCAAACAAAAGGCTCTTTTCCATTGAGTTAGATAGTAAATAAGTGATCGTTTTGTTGCACGTAAGGATGTGTTCAGAGCTTTCCCAAGTCACATCCTGCCACGGCTAACAGCCAATGGAGCATTCTTGGCCCCTGACCTATAAATAAACACTCTAATTCTGCAACTTGCTCACAGACTCTTAAGCTATTCTAAAACAAAAATGTCTACAAGCTAGTTAGAAATCTACAAACCAGAAATGCAATACATCTGTTCTTTTGAAACAAGAGCAAAAATTTGTATTAGATTTTTGGAAGAGTAATTAAGAATTGATACCCATTTCACAATTAAAAGATAATTATTCATAGTAGTGAAGAAGGAATAAAACCTTCAACAGGAAGGTGTGCGGCCTATCACATTGGAATACAATGGTGCTCACTCAGCTTAAGCAATGAATGCTTTCTTTTTTCAGTTTGTCTAGACTTGTTTGCTTTTCGTCAGGCAATTTATATCAGAGGATATTGATAGTCCTTCAAAGAAATGATTTGAAAGGTGATTTACAATTGGCTGGTGCTATCCCCTAATGCCTTTTTGCCTTATGTCCTAATTTTATGGAAACAAATTAAGGATATTAAGCCAAGGGTAAGAGTACTACTCAAAATATACCTTGGCACTGGTGCTCAGGTCAAAAACTACAGGATGTGGTTAGGCTGCCAAAGAGAATTCCTTGCCTGTCCATTTGAGTGCTAACACCATGGGAGTTCACATGCTTTTCTAGGGACAAAATTTAAAACTCAGGAGAAATTGTCCACAGTTGAACTTGCTGTCCCATTCTGTTTGAATCTAATCCTCCTTGTTCTCCCCTGCTCTCATGCCTTCTTCCTTTTTCACATCTGATATTTTTTTTTAATAATTTCCTCCAGAGTAATTTTTTCTAAGACATGTTTTATAGATTACAACACAAAGACCTTAAAAGAAGAAAAAGGCTAAAGAACATGAGTTCACCTTTGCGGATTGAAGCTCCTATTTTTAAAACATAAGTATGCTATCTATGAAATTCAGACATTTAATGACATCACAGTCTAGGCACTTTGGATGAAACTTGCTTCATAATGACATAAATACTATTAACCTCCCAAAAAGTGGTTGTTAGTAGCATTCCTATTAATTAATAGTGATGATAAAAATTTTCAACTCTCTCCATGTACATATGCCTGCTATCCCTTCACCTGCATCCTACATTAAATTTTCTAGTTATTTTTAGCCACAAAATTCACATAGGCCTAGGAGCAGACAGTAATAGGAAGGAAGGAAGGAAAGAAGGGAGGGAAGGAGGGAGGGAGGGAGGAAAGGAGAGAGAGAGAGAGGAAGGAAGGAAGGAAGGAAGGAAGAAATTGATTCTGGGTAAGTTAGCATGTTAACTGAAGTAAGATTCTATGCATTGCTCCTATGCTAACAGAAAGGAGAAAAGAACCAAATTCAGTGGCTTAAGACATTCTGCTATGGCCAAGGTCAGAGTTTGGTTCCTGGCCAGAGGGCTTTCTGGTGTTTCCATCTCTGTTCCGCCAGCAAAGGGGTAACAGCTGTAATAATATGGATGGATCCTTGCCTGATGTCTTATATGCAGTAGGTGCTCAATGATCACTAAAAGGATGACATGGACAAATGTGGAAATCAACTCAAAGGATACTGACAGAGTGAAGTCAGCAGTGGAAGACTTCAACAGATGAACAACCCAAGATGATAAAAACTAAGTACACTTTTTTAAGATTCTATAATCTAAATTCAAGGATAACCACATCTCACTTTGCTGTTTTACAATGATAAATTATATATCTCTATATATAAAATAGGTATTAGATATTATTAATCATAGATATATAATTATGGAGATACACATCTCCAGTTGGTGTCTCTGTGCTTGACCAGGCATCAGAGCCATGCAAACTAGCAAACACTCACAAGTGAGCACACAACCATCCCTACTTCTAATGCCAGTTTGAAAACTTGATTCTGGGCGCCTGGGTGGCTCAGATGGTTAAGCGTCTGCCTTCCGCTCCGGTCGTGATCCCAGGGTCCTGGGATCGAGTCCCGCGTCAGACTCCCTGCTCCTTGGGAGCCTGCTTCTCCCTCTGCCTCTCTCTCTCTTTCTCTGTCTCTCATGAATAAATAAAATCTTTAATCTTTAAAAAAAAGAAAACTTGATTCTGTCACCTTGGTATAACCTAGAAATGGAGATAGTTCCTATTATACCTGTCTCTTACTCTAGCTTTGTGCAGATTAACTACGTAGAGTTGTGAAGAGATTTGCAGGTAACAATCCCTGTTTATTATTGCTGTGAGCCCTCAGATTCAGCACCAAATCCGAAAAAAATTACAAAAATCACCTCCATCCCCCCAATTTTGCATTCTTAGAAATGATTACCCTGGAGTGGCATAATGAATTAGGCTAAATGGTTTTTAACTGCAAGCACTTACGGGCAGGATTTATGAATGGAAACATGTGAAAGCCACTCTGGTTAGCTCTGAAGCCCCATACTTTCTTCCTGGGCTATTTATAGAAAGTGTATGGACAGCGGAAAAGATCACGCTTATTTTTACAAGCCAGTCATGACATGACCAAAAAACTCACTTCTGTCTGGGAAGGTCATCCCTTTCACCTGAGGGTGCAGCTGCCAAGGACAGGGAAGAAAGCAACCCCCTTTAACCAACTAACTCAGCTGAGTCAACCCCACAGACCAACCCCCAGGGTGACAGGCTCCAAAGTCAAACACCTTCATTTCCCAGGCAGGACTCTCTGACGCTACTTCTTGAGATGTCATCTAGATCATGACTAACAAGTAAAAATAAAATGCATTACATAATATGCTTCAAAATTCCACTGCCAAAATAGGTTTACAGAGATAATGGAGTACATTCTTACATTCTACATTTATAATTTGTCCTACATTTCAAGCAGGTGAACACAATAAAGTAAAACTGAATCCTAATGGATGTCGCAAAGTGGAGAATGTGAAAAATATTTTTAAAGATATTTCATTCTGATTGCCCTATTACCCCTGAAATATGTAATAATATACTTGGCTAGTTCCATGCAAATGGAGACTCAGTAAATATATGCTGAATCTAAAATATCACCATTTATCTGGGCAGAAATCTGATATAATTTAGCAAATAACATACACGGTTTCACAAATCATCCCTGGTCCTACATAGCATATATCTATCTGCAAATAGGAAGTGAAGCCAAACCACTGTTTTCAACTAGAATGTCCTTTTGTCAATGTTATATGTGGTATATAAACACTAAGATGGAATGGGAGAAAAGAAAGTAAAAGAAGGAAACAACAAAGGGAAGGAAGTGAGTCCTCATTCTCTCTGGGGCATAGTGGGTCTGAAAACTTTGAGGGGAAAAGTGTGTCACCTTACTGGGCTCATGCATCATAACCACTTGAAAATGATATGGGTATAATTTTATCCTTAAATGGCCTCTACTTAAGGACAAAGACACAGGGTGAGAAGAGAATTGTTTGTAGACCCAGAAGATCTCCAACAAAAATTTAAAATGACAAATACAGGGTTTATTTCTTGTTCTCAAACTCATGGACCTTTTTTAGAATTCTGTCCCTTGAAAGTTCCTTCTGAAAGGGGAGGTCCCATTTTACAAGGAAGCCACCAAACACCCCTCAACCTATTTCTCTAGCTTCCAAACCAACATTCTTTAGGGCTCTAGAAGGGACAACAATGACATGCAAATAAGTTTGCACGTGGAAATATCCTGATTTCCACAATTGTTCTTGAATACATGCATTGAGTTAAGTTACAGCTGAGGTATAACTAGCTATAACATCCGTGCTAGGCACAAATTCTCAGCCTCTATCACCTAATGGGGATCTCCTTGCACTTTGCAAAAGATTAGATACTGACACCCATCAGCAAATGTGCAAAGTGTATTTATGATCCCATTAAGAGGTTCCAAATTAAATATAGACATATAAAAAGTTAACTTCTGTGTGCAAATTAACGCACAAAGATACTGGTTCCTCCAGGGAATTGTGCCAAGCCTCTCTGTTTACAAATACAATAGAGATTAAAAGCATAAACAAAAACAGCAATCTTTTTAGGAGTTCCAACCTACCAAGTGCTGAGGTAAGTGTTCATCTACCTTATGTGCTTGATCTAAATTATACTATGAAGTCAAGACTCCCCACTCAATGACTTATTTGGCTCTTAACCAAAAGGACTTGTCAGGAAGTGTGATAAGTTAAATTAAATAAGCCACCTCAGTGGTTTGTGTTAATCTAGAGTTGTTATCTCAAGTACAGGTTATCACTTATGAGAAATGTCTTAAATAACATTGGCCAATGTGGTTGTCAAAAAGGATCTCAGGAACATGTTCACTAATTTTTCAGTGATTTAGGGTGACTGCCATTCATTTCCATAGTATGGATCCAAATGAGACCAGTGTTTAACTATGCAAAGGTAATGTTATTTAACTCAACATCTTCACTTACAACTCAAGTAATATGCTCCTGACTTTCCTAATATAACTGCCTCAGTTATTCCTGAATATTATGTTTTTAATTTTAAGCAAGGATAAATGGCATTGGTCTAAAATAGTGTCCTCTCACCTCCCCTGATGGCTGCATTAAGAACCACAGCCACATTAGTGGGTTGGCTCCCTTTCTCCTGGTAAGCTACTTTCAGTCCTACCAAAATATTAAAACCAACACCATCTTCCTTCCCTCCTGGATGGAATGTTTTGACCCTGATTTACAGTAAAGTAAGAAAAGCTTATTCTTACTGCTCTCTCCATGCAAACTATGTCTGACGACCAGTCATTTGGGCATTGCTTCAAAGGCACATTTATTCCAGTGGCAATTTAAATAAGTAGAGAAAGAAAGAATAAAATTAAAAACAAAACAAAAAATTAGATGGGCTTTGTGTAATAAAGGAATTGGAACCTGGGATGTATATAAACCACTGAGCTCCTCAACAATAGTTTAACCAGAGTCCCTAAGGTAGAATAATTCACAGTTGTATCATAACACACATAAGCCTTCAGAAAACACTGTTTAAAAAAGTAGTTGAGAATTCTCAAGCAGCTTGCCCTGATGTCCAGTTCAAGTGTATGCAATGCAGAAGGGCTGCAAAATTCAAAACTATGTAACAAAGAAAATTCAGTGCATATCACAGGCTTTGATAAGTTGTGAAAAATCATTGTATATATTACTATTTAAATAACATCTGAGAAACATTTTGAAATAATTTGTGTTCACATTCCATGCATTTTCTAGCAGGTTAAGCCCTGGGTTTGTGTCTTTGTGCCCATTTCCTACAAAGCTCCATTCTTTTTACAAATCCAAGCATTCCTCAGACCGAAATGGAAGCACCCAGGGATTTTGTCTACTTACCCTCTTTACTGCATACCTGACCTCACCAGGACTACTCCTCATTACCACTGGTGCAGAAGACGACTGGAAAACCAAACTGTTCGGGGTTTTATTTGGGATTTTACTCACTCCCTTTGAAAAACCCCTGGATGTCAGAAACACCACCCGAATTTTTTTCCAGGGGCAAGAACCAGTGGCACTCTCCCTCTTGCTTGAACCATATCTCCCTCTTCCAAAGCCCCCAAGTGCACCGAGACCCCCTTGTTGCATTCGACTTTTTCCCTGTGGTTTTGCAGCACCTTCCTTGAGCAAAGAAGGAAACACAACAAAACTTGAAAACAAACCAACAACAGCAACAACAGAAACTCCGAACAAATAGGTGGGCGAACCAGCAGCCTCCTCCAAGGCGGAGGTTCACTTTTTACTGCAGAATTCGGTTTTGTTTAGGAACTTCTTGATGACCAGTCCCAGACAGACCACCAGCAGCAGCATGTAGCCCACTGTGCCAGAGAAGGTGGGCGCCGCAGGCGGCGCCTTGAGGAATTGGCGCAGGCCCTCCTCCACGTAGTACACCTGGTCATAGATGCTAAGGAAAGTGAATATGTGGAAGAGCTGGTGGCTATGGCCAATAATGTCGAAGAGGCCTGGATGGATGCGCTCAGGGATCTTGCTCACATTGAAAAAGGCGGCCACCACCAGCCAGAAGTAGCGACGATAGAAGTGCACGAAGAGCGTGGGGTTCTCACCGCGCAGGTCAAAGAGCCAGCTCTCGAGCATGATGGGGCAGGCCATGCTGAGGGGCATGATAAACACAAAAGTGCGGAGCGCGAATGGGTAAGAGCACCAGTCTGTGCGGCTCTTGCAGCAGGCCACTGTGCAGGCCACCGCCAGCACGAAGGCCACTGGCAGCACGAGCGCGCGGTAGGCGGCGATGAGGCGCGTGCAGTCCACGTGCCAGCCCAGGCGCTGCTGCACATACGGTGTCATCACCCTGGCGTCCAACAAGCTCAGGCCCGGCAGCAGGTAGTAGTAGTAAGCCACTGTGCTGCCGAAGCCGTAGTAGCTGATGGACGCGTAGTCCAGGTAGAAGAAGACAGCGCGCAGGCGCAGCGACAGGCAACTGAACACGTGCGCCGTGCAGCTCATGGCGAAGGTCAGCAGCACGCCCGACGCGTAGCACCACAGAGGCAACAGCCACGGGTGATGGAAGGGCACGTCCTGGCCGCTCAGAAAGAACAGGCGGCAGAACTTGCTCAGGAATAGCAGCAGCGGGATGAAGTGCGTCCAGAAGTTGAGCGTCTCGTTGGTAGGCTTCAGCACCGAGGCTAGGCACTCCTGCGCGGTACATGGCAGCCGCCGGTAGCCCGACAGAATGAAGCACTCCACGAAGTCGTCGGGAACCTCGTCCCAGCGCAGCAGCGGCTTGGCCGATGCTGGAGGGTCCCCGGAGGCGGAGGGGTGGGAACTTGAGGCCGCCTCCGAAGCCGCGGCGGTCGTGGCCGGCGGGCCCTTTGTGCCCGCGCCCCGGGGCTGCAGGCGCCGCGGCATGGTGCCTGGGGCTTGGCTAGGGCGCGCACAGGCGACCTCTGGCGCCGGCTCCGGCGCGCTCGGCAGTCCCCGCCGGCCGCCGTCGGAGCCTTTGTGCACGCGCCGGGGGCGTCGCTGCAGATTCAAGAGAAGACCTGATTCGGAGCAACCGTTCCTGAAAATAAATAAATAAATAAAAATAACAATCAGGTTATGAGCAGCGCAGCGACTGGTAGGAGCGCGCGGGCTCGGCGGCCCCTGCGCCAGGCTCCCTGCTACGGGCTCGCGGCCGCCCGCGCTGCGGCAGCGACAGCGGCGGCGGCGGACTGCGGCGGCAGCGGCGGCGCTGCTGCGGTGACTGGGCTTCGCGCGGTGCGGGCGCAGCCGCCGCCGCCGCCGCCCCCGGAGAGGGAGGCGGGGATGTGGGAGCCTAGGCGCTGGAAGGAGGGAGGGACGGGCGCACCGAGGGAGGGCGGGGGCCTCCCCCGCTAGTGTTTCGCGGCCGCCTTGGGGGATAGAGTTGTCCCCGGTCTCGAGTTCCGTACCATCCCCCCTCCTCGGGCCGCAGTAGCCCTAGCTGGCCTGTAAATGATTGATGTGGGGGCCAAAGGCTGCGCCAGCGACTCAGCTGCGCGCGCCGAGGGCCAGGGTCGACGCCCGGGTTCGAAACCCGACAGTCACTCAGGCGTTCCAGAGGACACAGGGCAGCCGCGTTCGCGGGGGGCGGGGAGCTGTGGCCGCGGGGCTTGGGGGGAGGGTGCCTGGCTCGCCGGAGCCTGGGCTTTGGCGGACAGATGTGCTAACGGTAACCTTCGGAGGTGGCGGGGGCAGGGGTTCTCGGGAAATCGGGGGCCTTTGAGACCCTGTCCGGGTCAGAGTCGTGTCATTGTCAGATACCTGAGAAGGCTCCTCGCTTCCCGTGTATGTGTTGTGTGTGCGCGCACTTGCGCGCGTGCGCGCACGCGGCTCTTAGCCTGCACGATTAAAGCCTTGGTTTATCTCCTTTCGTCTAGCGGACTTATTCAGGTGCGTCACTAACCTCCGCTCGCATTCGTCCCGGTCCTGTCCAAACGAACCGTTCCTAAATGGGACTCCGGCCGCGCTCACCAGCCCTCGAGGCTCGCAGCCCACCCATCTTCGTGTTCTTGTGTCTTTAGCTGGGAGTCTGGTTTGGAGCTGAAGTCCAACAACTCAGGGCGGACTGTTGAAACTCCACGTTTTAATGAAAAATTTCAGATGAAGACCGGGCGATTCAAAAAGCCCCTAACCATCTCAAGAATTTATTGAGAAGGGTTCCCAACCAGAGCTGTGCCCGAGTCAAGGGCTGATCATAGATAGTGGGGTGCGTTGATGAGGGAGGACTTCAGGGAGGAGGTGCGGTCTAGCACGAAATAAAAGGGGAACGAAGTCGTAGAGACTGGGAGGCGGTGGCTTGGAAAAGGCTTATGCATAATTAACCAGAAGTACCTGGCAGGCTAGGTTGGGTGGATGGAGGCCAGAAGAAAGGAAGGCTTAAGAATCGAAAACGGTTGTGATGCGCTGCGGTGTGAAAGCAAATCTGCCCTTTAGTTTTGTGCGAGGAGGGGCTTAAAAACCTGTCTGCTCTAAAATGTACCATTTCAGAGAAGTTTCTCTTCGCGATGCCCTGGGGCTGTGACTGAGTCTAACTTGCCTCACTGACTTGCAGTACAGTGTTAATGGCAACAAGAGCTAATTTTAAAGGGACCAAGAACTGTTCTAAGTGCTTTACAGTTTTAAAATCTTTTAGGTATTATTATTTTTTCCATTTTACAGACTGGGAAATGGAGGCACCACGACCGTAAATAACATGCCCAATTGGTAGAAGGGAGATTTGAACTCAGGCAAGCTGCTTCTAGATCTCATGTACTTAAACCAGAACATCTGACCTGCTTTGCACAAATGAAACTAGTAGAGAAGGGCATCTGATTTAGGAAGAGGCTTTCATTTTCATTTTATAAATGAAAGGCTACCTTCATCACTACAGCAAATCCCACAAGGAGGTCAAGGAAGACTTAGTAGTGGCTCAAGAAGGACTTAAATTATTGATAAGGATTATTTATAACTGAGAAATAATTCAATGTTTTAAATGTCTAAAATTGGGGCACCTGGGTGGCTCAGTCGGTGGGTGTCTGCCTTTGGCTCAGGCCGTGATCCCAGGATCCTGGGATCAAGACCCGCATCAAGCCTCGCATGGGGCTGCCTGCTTGGTGGGAAGCCTGCTTCTTCCTCTCCCACTTCCCTTGCTTGTGTTCCCTCTCTCGCTGTGTCTCTCTCTCTGTCAAATAAATAAATAAATAAAATCTTTAAAAAATATATAAATGTCTAAAATTACTTAAGGGTATTAGAAACGTTTTCAATAGAGGTTTCAGCCTTCTCTCTAAAAAACTGTTTTCCACTAGTAATTGACTTAGCGAAGTCTTAACAATTAGGCCAAAGGTACACTTTGGTCTTGTGCCTTTCTCAGCTATCACCAATCCCTGATGAATGAATTTTAAATAGATGAGATTTTGCTGTAGTTACTCAACTAGTGCTTTGTTTTAGTATTTTCTGTTTTCCCACTGTTGTTTTACTGTTTTAAAGCAATTTAAAGCAAATTTCCTTTAACATCTGGGCTAAAGGCCCATGCTAATTTGTAAAAGGGATTACGATTTAGACATTTATAAATCAATCCTGGGAATGAATAACTCGAATCTAGGGCAGAGTAGGAAAAAAAATTCATGTTCTCTTTGTACTCCACAATCTAAGCTGTAGCCTGTAGAAAATGTTGATCCAATAATAACTTCCATATTTACCAATCTTTTAGTTGCATAATCAGCTCACTTAATTGGGGAAAATATAATAGTTAACGTGGAGTGAAATAATGGAATTGACTGTAAATGAATGTGTAAAAACTCTAGTTAGATCAAATAATATTTATCTCTATGACAGAGTGGTGAGACTGTCTATGATAAAATATAATGTTCTTTGAAACAGTGTTTTACAAAGTCAAAAAATCTGAAACCTAACTTTCAGAAAGTCTTTGTGATTTCTGCTTTTCTCTTTTCTCTTCCATCTCCCACTGCACATGAGGCACAAGATCAAGATGCCACGGACTGGTGTCGTGAAAGCTCTTTGGTGCCAACCCAACAGCTGTCTTTGCTACACCTTGACAAAGCCAAGTAAATAGGATCTAAGGACAGCAAAACTGATCTAGCTTATCAAAAAAAACAAAAACCAAACCAAACCAAACCCAGCATTATGACTTTTCCATAATTACTACCAATCTATAGAATTAACTTTTCTTAATTTTTGGGGGGGATAAAAAAATGTGTTCCCCAAATCCTACACAGGCTAGGTTTTGTGGTTTAGCTCTAGTAAGCTAACTGCCTCTTGTCAGTGAGAACCACACCCGCACCCCATGGGCTTGGCTAAAGTGATAGAAGCAGCAGCCTGGCCACCATTCCCTGAAGGCTCACTGGGAGATAAGGCATCTCTAAGGTAACCAGGACTGACTACCAAGTTCTTTTTTTTTTTTTTTTTTTAAGATTTTATTTATTTATTCGACAGAGAGCGACACAGCGAAAGAGGGAACACAAGCAGGGGGAGTGGGAGAGGGAGAAGCAGGCTTCCCGTGGAGCAAGGAGCCCGATGCGGGGCTCGATTCCGGGACCCTGGGATCATGACCTGAGCCGAAGGGAGACGCTTAACGACTGAGCCACCCAGGTGTCCCTGACTACCAAGTTCTTGACAAGAAGAATCACCAAGTATTACATTGGAATGCCAGTGCCAGAGTTTAGAGGCAGAAACCAGCTAGTTCTCCCCATTGAAAGCTGTCAAACCAAGACCACAAATATTTTTGGAATTCTATGCAGTTCTGTAGTTTCGTAGTTCTGTACATTTGGGACTGAGGGGTCCCGACTGCAGAATGCAATCATACTGGGGACCTGTAGCAAACTGGACAAATGTTTTTTTCCCCATATGGCTTGCTTTGGTGATGTTTTTACAGACTGACTTAGAGGTTTATTTGTGTTTCTCTCTACAATCATAAGATGAAGCATATATAAAAATTCTGCAGCAAATTTGATGTTCTCTGGTAGCTATTTGTAGAGTCCACAGGGAAAAAAATGCTATGACATTTGCTTATAATACACCTGTTTTTTGCAGGAAATAATTTTTTCTTAGTCTAATTTTTAGCCAAAACCAATTAACCAACAAAACAAAACCCACTGTGGATCCAGTGCTTAATTGCACCCAGGACTCTGTATAAAGAGAACTCTGTAAGATTCATTCCCTCTCCTTGTAATATACAGTCGAGACAAAGTGCTTCCCTTCCCCAAAATTGAAAACAGTCCTAGTGTTATCATCCAAACTCTTTCAGGGCAGATATGGTCACTACCAGATTGTAGAGTCTGCGCTTCCTAATGGTGGAAAACCTTCTGGCAGTGGCATCAGGTGTAACTATGGCAACCTTGGAAGACAAGTGCAATCTGAAGGCCAGGCAGAAGGCTGGAAGCTAGAGAGAGTGTGGTGGGGACACTGAGTTCTTATCTGGCACTATTCCTGCCTATTCACTGACATGGTGACAGGGTTCTCTTTTGAAGAAAAGCAGGGGGAGACTTGTAGATGGTGTTTTTCCCTTTTGGGGTTCTATGCAGGGAGGGACAATTCCATACTCCTCTCTCTCCCACAATTCACCTGTTCTGTACTACTGGTCTCCAAAGTGGGGTACACAAGAAGACTGATCAGGGTGAAGAATAAAATATTACACCTTCTGTTTCAAAATCCTTTTCAGTGTCTATACTCTGTGAAGGTTTTATGATACACTTAATATGTACTACATGGAAGTAATTTATAAATAACAGGTTGGGGCATGGGGGAGGGTCAAGACACTTTGGCTGATAAGGGTATGCCATCCATGCTATTGACTTGTGTTGTACAGTCTGTGCCTCCTGTTCGTCCAACTTGCTTCCATCCCCTCTCCCAGGTCTAGGATGGACTCCCCTTTCCTGCCTCTGAGGTCACTGGAAAGAGTGTTTGGAGGTCCCCATCTGTCACCCAACAGTCCCTAAGCTGTGACCAGACCTGCCCAAGCCTTCGGCTTCCCTGAGCTAGGATGGCAGTCTCCATTCTGGGGTTATTTCTCCCAATTCTGCCCTCCCTGTTTCCTAGCTAGAGCCTATATTGTCTTTCCATAAAGGCATAACATTTACATGTTTTATTCATCCCAATTCAGAGTTACCCTTTGGGTAAGAGATTGTCATAGGCTGTTGGCTTGCTTTTGATAGGGACTTTTAGGTAGCATTCATGAATTTAACTTGAGAGTTATACAAGTGTGTAAGATTATTGAGTTCCTACTCATTATTTATGAACAGTTTTCTTTGAAACACAGTGCTTTGCACATGCTAAGCACTCACCATGTATTTGTGGTTGGAGAAATTCTTTTCAGTACTATAAGCCTTTAAAAGGTTAGAACTGAGGTGCCTGGGTGGCTCAGTTGGTTAAGCGTCTGCCTTCAGCTCAGGTCATGATCCCAGGGTCCTGGGATGGAGCCGTGCATCAGGCTCCCTGCTCAGTGGGGGGTCTCACTCTCCCCCAACTCGTGCTCTCCCCCCCAACTAGTGCTTTCTCGCGTGCTCCCTCT